ATGGTTCTAAAATCAACAGTTACTTGATTGGTTTCTCGCGTTTGCATAGTTTTAAAATCAAAGAATTAGGAAACATTTTTTATTCAAAATTTAAAATTTAATTTTTCAAAATAACTTTAAGAAAAAATAAAAAAGGGGTTTCAACTTAATTTTTTTCAAAGAAAAAAGGGCTTTTTTCAAAGAAAAAAGGGCTTGAATTTCCTCTACTTAGCATTACAGAATAATAATAATATATAACTTGAAAAAAATTAAGTAGAAAAAATTAGGGAAATAATGAGGGATTGGAGATATTATTTGAGAATAATTTGGACTATTTCAAGGAGAACAATTAGAGTTGGGAGAAATTATTTGATAATAATTTGGACAATAATTATAAATTGGAGAGCTTAAAAAGAAATAATGTAGTATGAGGATGAATGAATAATGAAGTATTTATAATAAAACCAAAAAATCTAACTTAGCATAAATTCCTTAAAAGTAGTTGTTATGTAACCGTTTATAATTGTTAAGAAGATTAGTGATAAACCACCAGTTCTAGCTGTTGTAAATCAAAATTCAAATTTTTTTTAGGAACCACTGACGGTTTGAATCATTGGAACCATCGGTTCTAACCGATTGTCAAAACCTTCGATTATGTCCGGTTCTTGGAACCGTTGGTTCATGGTTCTAAAAAATTTAGAACTAGAATTGAACCGCAGCTCCCAGTTACGGTTCTGGTTTTGTCTAGTTTCAATTCCAACGGGTTTTGAACTGACAGCTCCAATATCAAAAACTGGATTTTGGCCACCCCTACTTCTACACGTAATAACTAAAATTTTAACATAAATAGACACTTACCGCAGGACATCTTATATCCATGCTGTCTTAAAACTCGAAAGAGAAGTGCTATATTATAGAGATCACAGTCAATATCATCAAGAAAATTGTAAACAGTATGAAAAATATGATTTAACTGCTCACAGTCAATATCATCAAGAAAATTGTAAACAGTATGAAAAATATGATTTAACTGCTCTTCAATCTCTATCTTAAAATGATACGATATACCAAGACGACATAACGTATTGATAAATTCAACGTTTTGTATTAGATTCTTCGTTAAATCCATTAATATGTCTCTTATCTCTTCCTTAAGCGACTCTACCTTTTTAGTGTACGATTCATATTCTTGTGCAAGCAAAGAGATATTCAATTTAATATGTTGAATTTTACATATTAAGCACAACATAAGCAAATAATTAGAATAAGCAAATAATTAAAACTTTTTTATGCTATTTAGCAAGAATATAATTTTCTTTTCTTCTCTCTTCTTGTGTCAACACAAAACAAATAATGCAATTTGTATATATTGCCTAAAGTTAAAATTAAAAATACAACGAACTATTAATTTTTCAAAAATATTCGATTTTTTTTTTTTTTTTTTTTTTTTTTGGGCTAATTAGGATAGTTTTAAAAAAAGCATTAAGGAAATCAAATAAACAGTTGATAGAGGTGGTGTTTACGCGAATCTGCAAAGGATAAGGTAAGTAAAGCTTAGAGGTGGTTACCGAATCTGCAAAGGAGAAGGAAGTAAAGCTATTATATCCCCACAAAGTAGGAGGGAAATTAGGCACAAAACGAGACACATTTTGCTCAACTTTTCGTTGTAAATGGGTTTGCATTTCCATTACAGCATTTGAATCTGTCTCTCTCTCTCTCTCGATAGATGAAAATGAAATCTCTGTGTATGATATTACGATAGAGGCTAAGCTAAGCTGATACAAATAAATATTAATAATGCTTGTGATTGCTCTTCTTATTTCAATTTGGTAATGATCAGATCAGTATGAAAAGGACAATTCATCCCTTTTAATGTATATCTTTATCTTTATCTTTATATTTATATTTATCATGCAGCAGATCATAATCCTCTATATATTCTTTAGACCCATCACGCACTCCCAAACAAAACCAAACCCATTTCTATATGTCTATTATTAATTTCCAATTATTCATTCTCCAATGAATTCATTGCCCTACTCATAATGAACTTAAATCAATTGATTATTTTTATTTGGTTTTGTTTTCTTTGAGTTTCTTCTTTCCTTGCTTCCTCCCTTTCAACTGGCTTTTAATTAAATATTTTCATTTTAAAAGATAGTATTTCTTTCGTTCTAAAATTATAGTTCCACTTTCTTTTTGGAGTATCCCCATTAAGATACGTGTAAATATACCTTAAGTAAATGGCATATAATGGGGAGGGTAAACCAACCAACATGGCTTAGGCCATTTTATGTTAACCGTACACCCAACCAATTATAAATCCAAATATTAAACACATTAGTCCTTAACAATGCAATTTTCCACAATATCCTTCTATATAGTAATTCACGTAAACAATTAATAGGTAGTGAGAAAAAAAAAATAAACCTTAAGTTTCAGGAATTATAAATATATTGAGCACAACATGAGCAAATAACTAAAACTTTTTTATGCTATTTAGCAAGAAAATAATTTTCTTTTCTTTTCTCATGTCACCACAAAACAAATATTGAAATTTATATATTTGGCCTAATGTTGAAAATATAAATATACAATTTCTTTTCTTTTCTCATGTCACCACAAAACAAATATTGAAATTTATATATTTGGCCTAATGTTGAAAATATAAATATACAACTTGCTAATGTGGGAGCCCATCCCCTAGTTAGTTAGGGCTTCTTACTCTTATGCTCATCTCCAAATTTGAGATTATATCCCAGAATGTTTGTTAGCTTTCTATGATTCAATTAATGCAAAGTGATCTTTTCCTTTCAGAAAAAAAAAAAAAAAAGAAAAAACAAAAGTTGACTAAATAATTTTAAGTACTGAAATTAATACATATAGCATTATACGAAAAAAGGGAATTCCCATCACAAAAATTTTATCGTTCGTTCCTTATTTTGTCACTAATTTAGTATTACTCACAAAATAGCAATAAAAAGTTTTTATTGGACAACCCTTGTCGCTAAAAAAGTAGCAACAACAAAATTTTTATTGGTAAATTAGCGACAATTTTGTCACTGATTTTTTTTTTTTGTTGCCAATGTCATCGTAAAAATTAGACAAGTTTTAGCGGTAAAATTATTTGTCGCCATTTTATTGATATTTTTTATCATTAATTTTATTGTTGTTTTGTCGGTATTTATCGTTAAATTAATTATGAAAATTTCTTATTGATAATTTATTGTTATTTTGTCGTTGACTTTAATGCATATTTTATAAAATAAGTTGATTTTATTGGTATTTTATCACAGTTTTTATTATTGATTTTTAAATTCATAAACTAATTGTATTTTAATAATTATATTATTTAAACTTAATTAATAGCTAAATTAAATAAAATAATAATAATAAATTATATTAATTAAACTTTAATAGCTAAACTAAATAAAGAAAAATAATAAAAAAAAAAAAAGCACAAAGAAGTAAAAGAAGAAGAATAAGATGAAGGAAGGAAAAACGAAAAACAGGAAAAAAAAAAAGAAAAGAAGTACAGTAGTAGAAGAAAAGAAAAAAAGAAAGAAGCCCTAAAAGCTATTATATCTCCACAAAGTAGGAGGGGGGCTCAAAACCAGACACATTTTGCTGAATGTTTGGTTGTAAATGGGTTTGCATTTCCATTTTTTTTTTCTTGCTTGGAAGAGGAAGATAAAGGTACTGCAAGTGTTTCTAATTTATCCATAGTTAGAAATAAATCTGGGTAATTTATAGAAACCATAGGCACCATCATTGACTTTGACAAATTAATTATATTAATTTGTATTTATGAGGTTTGGTACGAGAATCATGAGTTTAATAGTTGAATTAAAGATAACGGATTTAATCAGTGACAACTGAGATTAAAGAGACCAATTTACCGTTGCTAATGTTGGTTAGGGGGATTATGAGAATAAATTCAGACCGGATCAATTTATACTTTAATTCAATATTAATTTAATTGGACAGTCCAAATAAAAAAACTATTATACTTTAATTCAATATTTTTTGAACCGTTAAATGGATATAAATTTGAATAATTCGTGAAAATTAAGATTTCCCGATAATTTTTTACTAAGTTCAAATTTAGTTTCATAAGATAATAAAAAGCAATATATTATATTCATTATTAACTTCTCTTTTATCTCTTTCTCTTGTATATAAAAAATGATAGCCCTAATTACTCCTTCATGATATATGTGTGGATCAAACACCATAAATTCTGGTAGCTTTATGTTCTTTTCTTCCTTTTATCAAGAAAAAAAAAAGATATAATTCAAAATTAGAATCAAAATTATATACTCAAATCATATTTCTGACAACAAAGTAAAATTATATGCATCGTAATCATACATGAAACATATCATTCACAAATATCAAATATACAGGTAAAGTTATAAGTCTGAATATATAAATTTAATCCCTGGAATTTAATAAAAGAACTTTATGGCACCATAAACTTTAAACTCGATTTTATATTACCATTAGTTTAATACTATAAACGCTACTTTTTATAATATTTAGTAATATAACTTTTAAACTAATTTTTAGAGGTTAAGATAATGTTTTATAGAATGTTAACCCCTAAGAGGTTTTAATTTTAGTGTTTTCACTCCAAGAGCTTGCTACTCAAACAGTTAAATGCTACTAAAAAAAATACGAGCACACTTCTAAAAACAAATTTTTTTATTTAAGTGATTAGCTATGATATAATATTTCATGTTACTTAAATTTTTGTAATTCATAAAACACTCAAGATATCAGGATTTGAAATCATAATCCCATTCAGTTATTTATAATACATAATTTTAACAAGCCTAATGGAAGAAATAGAGCTCAAACCATTACACAATTATTGAGTGCATCATATGCATGCAAATGGAAAAATACATATATATTAAAATTTAAAAAGCGGGTTTAAACTTCTCATTTTGACAGGGCAAGTGGCTCAATACCATATATATTAGAATTTAAAAAGCGGGTTTAAACTTCTCATTTTGAACTCATTTTGACAGGGCAAGTGGCTCAAGAAAGAGTGAAATAACTTTGTCTTTTAGACTTGATGGGTTAGTATATCCATCATCAAACGTATAAGCAACCTCTGTAATGCGAGCAATGTTGACGAGACATTCAAGGATAGGCCTTGGAGTAGAATTTGGTCTCATGCATTCCTCATTAATGTCTTTCCATGCATTTCCACAAATTTTCAATATCTCTTCAACTGCAATATCTTCTGTAACACCATATTCGTTTTTGTAACACTCTACACTTGAAGCACAATCTCCCCTCTTTTGCTCATCCTTCAAATAATAAATACACAAGTAATTAGAAATTATATAAGAAATACAAACCTATTGGGATCAGGAGCGAAGCTAACGATATACATTGGATATACATTAAAGGTAAAGACGTTAAGTAAAAATTATAGAGCGGCAAGTGATTGAAGTTTTAAGAAAAACCATAAAAAACAAAATCAGAAGTCCTTTGGATGGAACCCTCTTCTCTTTTTAATGGCATGGCCGGTTGCATCGGGATACTGCATATGCAAGTTGATACTGCATATGCATTTAACAAAATTTATAGTAGTATGAGAACATACCTCATGGGATACTATATCGTTCAACAAACGACCAATTATCTTGACAGCATTAGCAATTTTTGGGTTAGCTTTTAGCCACTCATATTCCTTGATGCCTGCAAATTTTCCCATCCCAACAAAACATACTGCTGGAACTACTCCATAGCTGCTTGAGGTTGCACCATTGTGCAAATACTCCCCAAATGTTGGCACATATCCATCATTAGACCATTTCGCCTCCATCCGGTAGGCTCTCAATAATTCTTTAAACTAATTAAAATAGTTAAAAAAAAATACAAAGATCATGCTATCTATCAGCAAAGATACATATAACATAATAGTTTTAAAATTTCAATAATTAATTAATTAAAACAAAGCCTAAACAAATCTTACTGCCTCCTTCGTATAATAGGCACAATAGGACCTTCCTTCTTTGCACACAATATTACTTGTTTCCTCAAAAAGATCCAAGTTTGCCTCAAAAGATCCAAAAAGGTGCTGTAGAGTATCTTTCATGTAATCTGGGAGTTTGATGCAATTGCAACTAATGTTGCCACGCTGAATATTAAAAAGAAATAAAAAAAAAAATTAAAATAAAAATCCACCAATAGGAATCGCCAAGTGTAAATTATTTCTTGTAAATTTACATCGGTAGCAAACCTCCATGCATCGAAAAGGCAATTATTTCTCGCCATTGTAGCATATGTAAATTCATATGTGTCATCTGATTAAATGATACATTATGCAAGCATATTTAGTTACCGATTAACGCTTAAGAGAGGCAAAGAATGAGGCTCGGACCTGGTATTGAACATGCCCAGAAATAGAGCTCTAACGATTCTGTCTCTTGGCATAGGGAAGCTTCCCTGCAAGATTGGAATCTTTCCACCACACTGAAAAATATTGTGGTTAGTACTATTAGTATCCTTCGCAGTCTTTAAGCAATAATGCAGATGCGATAGTCTTTAAGTTGTATACGTCAAAATTAATTGCTTGAAAAATAAATCTTTACCTTACTCAAGTTTCACAAGTCTTGGTCTGTGTAGTAAACTTGGTACTCTAATTGAAATTAATTTTGCAAAACTCAAGGTAGGGTTTCATTCTGCGAGACTCCATCTTTTTCCTTCGTAAACAGAAATGTATTCGCCTCGGCCCTCAAACCTCTTGGTTAACTCCTTTGTGAAGGACAAAGATGAGAGCAATATCTTATATGTTGTGCATAAGATGCATGAGGAATTGATTGCATAGCTAGTGATGACTCCAAGATTGGCTTTGTAAAGCCAAGAGCTCCATCTAAAGAATATCTTGCTCCGTGCAGCACTTAACAAAACTTGCTTCACATATAAGCTGAAGTAATCCCCTTCACATTCATTACTGGATAAGCTTCTGGAAATTTTACAAAACTTGCTTCATATAAGCTGAGAATCCCCTTCACATCATTACTGATAGCTTTCTGGAAATTTCCATCCTTGTCCTTGAATTTGTTGAACACATCTAGTTCAAAATTAAATTAATAGTATGTTAATCCTGTTTTGAAATACAATAAATTTATTTTAGCATAATAATTAATATCAAAGTTTATACGCAGGGATAGCCACGGTTCCAGAACCCGAGTTCCAGTTCCAAATAATGGGAAATTAGAACCAAATTGAAAATTGAAGGTTTCTGATCCGGTTTAGAATCGACGATTATAGTTCTCGTTTCAGAGTTAACGGTTCCAAAACCGACGTTTTAGACTGTTTTTCTGATCTGTTCGCATAATTTTAAAATCAAAAAAATTAGGAAACATGTTTAGTTCAAAATTTAAATTTTAAATATTTATGAAATAATTTTTAAAAATAAGTTTAAGAATAAATAAAAAAGGATTGAACTTAATCTTTTTTATAAAAAGGGGCTTGAATTTCCTCTACTTGCCATTATAGAATAATAATATTATAGAATAATAATATGTAACTTGGAAAAATTGAATATAAACAAATTAGAGAGACTAATTAGAGATTGGAAATATTATTTGAAAAAAATTTGGACAATTTCAAGGAGATTAATTAGACATTGGAGAAATTATTTGACAATAATTTGGATAATATTATTGGAGAGCTTAGAGAGATTGGAAAGTAGAGAAAATAATTTGGTGTGATGATGAATGAAAATAATTGGGTACTTGTACAAATACTCTTAAAACTAGCCGTTTATAGTTTTTATGAGGGTTAATGGTGGAACCGCCGGTTCTAGCTGTTGTAAATCAAAATTTAAATTTTTTTGAAACCGCCGACGATTTGAACCATTGGAACCGCCGGTTCTAACTGGTTATCAAAATCTTCGGTACTACTCGATTCTCGAAACCGCTGATTCACGGTTCTAAAAGACTTAAAATAAGAACTGGACTGCAACTCCCTAGTTGTAGTTTCGATTCTGTCCAATTTCGTTTTCAATTCCAACCGGTTCTGAACCGACAATTTCAGTTCCAAAAAATAGATTTTGGCCATCCCCACTTATACACATAATAATTAAAATTTTAGCATAATTAGACACTTACTGCAAGATATCTTATATCCATGTTGCCTTAAAACTCGAAAGAGAAGTCCTGTACTATAGAGATCACTATCATTATCATTAAGAAATTTGGAAACCGCATAAAAAATATGATTTAATTGCTCTTCGATCTCCATCTCAAAATGATATGATACACTAAGACGACATAATGTATCGATAAGTTCAATATTTTGGATTAAATTCTCTGTTGAAGCCATTAACATGTCTCTTACATTTTCCTTAAGCGACTCTACCTTTTTAGTATATGATTCATATTCCTGTGCAAGTAAAGATAGTCAATTAAGATGTTGAATTTAACATATTGAGCACATAGTCAATTAAGAATGATTTGAAGTTTAAACACATTGAGCACACATAAGCAAATAATTAAAAAACTTTTTATGCATTTAGCAAGAAAACAACTTTCCCTTTTCTTTTCTTTGAAGTCACCAGAAAACAAAAGTCGAAACCATTTAAAACTTAAAAATTAAAATATAATTAACTAGTAATATTGAAAGCATATATATATACGATAATATAATAAATCTCATCAAGCTTAACATCAAAGCTAAAGAGATGGTTACCGAATCTGAAAAGGAGAAGGAAGCAAAGCTATCATATCCCCACAAAGTAGGAGGGAAATTAGGCACACAACGGCACACATTCTGCTCAAGTTTTGGTTGTAAATGGGTTTGCATCTCTATTGTTTTTGGTCTTGAAAGTGTTTCGAGTTCCTTTATGCTTAGAAATCAATTCAAGCTAATTAAAGAAACCATATCTCACCACTGTATACTTTGACAACAATAATTAGGCAAATGTTATCCATATCTAGAAGCAAAATGGGAAGCCACATACCTTAGGTTAGACAAGTTTTCTATTTTAATATCGCAGCATACAGAAAACATTTACAATTAAAATTTTAAATTCATTAAAATTTTTCAAATGTACCGGCATATATGCAAATTAAAATCATAAATAAAATATATCAGGTATATTTAATATTTTAAAATATATTAATTAGACTTTAAATGAATATATCACGTCAGATCTCATTTGAATGAAATGAACAATAATTGATCTATGGTCGAAGAATTAACCGCTAAAATTAGAAAGGACAAAAAACAATTTCAAATCTCTCAAGTAAATACTCTCTGCAATTTCAATCTATGGATGATGGTTGCAGATCAATAAAAAAATAAAAATGAAAAATTAACAATTAACAATTTGGGTTTGTGTTGTTTTTTTTTTTTTTTTTTTGGGTTTGTGTTGTTTTTTTTTTTTTTTTTCTTCAAACATGAAAAGTAAGGATTTTTAGAAGAGAGGAAAGAAGACATGACCATGCCACTTAAGCATAATCAACATATTTTAAAATATCAAGTGCGTCTGCATATTTTTTTTTTTTTTTTTTTTCTTCAAACATGAAAAGTAGGATTTTTAGAAGAGAGGAAAGAGACATGACCATGCCCACTTAAAGCATAATCAACATATTTTAAAATATCAAGTGCGTCTCATATCTCTTATTTATAATTTCGGTTTATTACGTAATCTGGCAGACACTTGAATGAAAATTTTTAATATATTGAAACATTTAATTGTAAATATTTTCTATTGAGATACCAAAATAAAAAAAAAATTAAAAAAATTAGGACACAAAATTTATAATTAACTCAATATATATTTTCGTCATTTTGATCCGAATTGGGGACAAAATATTAATAACAAAGCAAATATCTCGGACCATTAAATGTAAATTTTTGACTGAATATTATATATTTTGAAATTATTATGAACACTCGGTATAATTATATTAATAAAATTACAAATCATTTATAGGACCCAAAGTTCCAATCCTGATAATAAAGATATATTTTGCAGAGCTTGAAACAGATATAATCATAATTAATTTTGTGATCAATTTTAATCATTGAGCTGCAGCACCAAACCCCTTTTATTAAAACATACCATTCCAATTCTAATTTTGTCAATTTATTAAAAAATTTATAATATTCGATAACATAACATTAACATTTTATACTGATATTTAGATTTTGAGGAAATGAGTTATAAAATATTATTTCGTTTAATATTTTAATTAAATGAGTTGAGAAATACAAACATAACTAATTTTGCTTAGCAATTCATTAGAGTTGAATCGAAATATATATGTGTTTATATTTAATTATAATTGATTGTTTATTTATATTTTAAAATGAGTTTAATAGGCAATCAGGTGATCTGGTTGGTCTCTTCACCTATGTGTAGAGTGAAAGATCTCAAAACCACAAGAATTTCAAATTATTTAAATTAAATTCATAAAGAATTTATAAGAATAAAAAATTAATTAATTAATTAGTACTAATCTTTTAACATATTCATATTACTCGGGTCCAAGTACAATCTTAAAAACAATTTAAGCGTAATCTAATTCAAGCTTGATCGTTTTTTACGATTTACATCCTGAATTTTACCATAAAAGCAAAAGCTCAATTTTTACCAAAAAATAATTGATTTGAGTAAAATATAACTAAGATGATGAGACACCCATTGGCCATTCCATGTGTTTATGTACGAGGAAAAAGCCATTCAAATCAAATCAAAGCATAAGACTCCAGAAAACGCGTCACATCGGTTTGAATCTACTTTACATTCAAATCAAATCATCTTTATTGGCGGTTGCCGACACATTCATGTTCTACAGGGTCAGGCACTTGAATCCAAACAACTCCAATTATTTTCCTTATATTTTCAAGGACTTGCCCCCATTATTTTAAATGCTTAAAAGTTTGAGCGTAATCAAACCGATTAAATAGATCTTGATTTAGTGTAATTTTAATAATAAATAAAGTAAAATGAAGACAAATGATTTATACATACGGTCGATCCTAATTATTTTGTAATCAAAACTTAATTTTATAATCAAATTAATTAAGTAACAAATATAGTGATTTAGGTTAGATTTAGTTTTCAGCTGAAAATTTAATTGATTAAAGTTAAAATAAAGTGAAAATACCAACAATCGAATCCAAATAATAGTAATTTTTTATTTTTCATTTAGTCTTGCTTAATAAAAGGAGTTGATCATCAACTTCAACCAAACCTGGATCAAACCAAATCAGTCCCAAACCAACCCAAACATCTTCGTTTTTCCGATCACCGGCGACCCACGTCAACTACCCCTCCCTGCCGCCGTTTCTTTCTCTCTTTCTCTCTCTCTCTCCTGGTCTCCGACCAACAGAAACAGGCTCAACGAGCCTTCATCGCGCCACCCTCGCCATCGCTCCTTGCCGTCGCACCGCCAGTCGCTTCCTTTCTCTCTCAGTTAGATCGCGCCGCCACTGCCTCTCGGTCCACCTCCCTCTATTTCCTTTTGGGCGAGCAACAGCACCACCTGCCATCTCCGTCGCGAACGCTGCTCCTCGCGACCTCAGCCACCAGCCGCTGCTTGACGTCGCGCCTCCTACTCGCAGCTCCGGTGAGCACAGCTGCTCAGACGAGCAACGACTCCCGTTTTGGTCGACTCAGCGACTGCCCCCTATCTTTCTCTTTGTTCCGGCGAGACTGGTTGAAGACCAGTCGATCTGGTTCCTTCCATGCTGCTATTAGTGCGCCAGCCACCTCCGGTTGTCTCTCCGGCGCGCATAGTCTCCGTCTCCGGCCAAGCAAATTCCGACACTGTTGTGCTTAGGTATATAAATTAATTTTGGTTATTTTCAGAAAATTAATTAATTTTTAGTATTTGTTGCTAATTAATTTAATTCGATATTGGTTATTTTCCAATATATTTCACTAGCGTTGATTTGATAAAAAGACCGTAATTAATTAAAGCCAATTTAAATTAGCACCATATAAATTTAATTGAGAAATTTTAATAATAATAATAATAATAATAATGGAATTAAAGTATGGATTTAAGGTAGATTTGATTGAATGTTATTTTAATTTATAAACTATCGGTTGTGTGGTAATGTTGAGATTATAAGAGATGGAAAATCGACTTGATTGATTGTCCTACGGCTATGGATGGGTTACTTGGATTGAGTTAAAATTTAATAGAATTTTTAATATTTAAACATATGGATAGTCCAAATTTTAGGGAATGTACTACCGAAATTTCGGTAGAAATTAATCTAGTATTATCAGTTATATACATAGATAGTGTATTAGATTAATTTCCTTAATTACTTATTTCAATTAGTCCTTTGTCTGATATAATTCTTTCTTTGTGTTCTTAAATTTTTTAGATCGTCCAGATCCATCTACTGCTCCTTCAAGTTAAAATCCGAGATAAAGCATCTTCCTTTTTTTATCACTGTGAGTAATAATAAATAGTGCATACTATTATTGTATACACATATCATTTACTTTTATAAAAAAAATAAAAATAAAATAATAAATATATAAATGATAAAATAATATTCATTGTTATATTATCATATTATTATTAATATATGATTGTATGCATTTATATCACAATTATATTATGTTAATATTAATATATAATTATATTTTTATGTTGTGCATTAAGGATTGATTTGGTACAATACGTTGAATGAATTGTTTGATTACTTATGCTGTGAATTTGTCGTGTCTTGTTTGTGTGGAATTGGGATGAAATGTACCATTATGGGTTTGCGAGGGCGGTCTTCAATACCTTTGGCCATATATGAGGAGATCGGTGCCCCGTGTGCATATGATGATATATGATATGGAAAAATCATACGGTGGCTGCCTATTGATATGGAAAAGAATAGATAGTATATATAAAAAAAAAAGAGACGGATGGTCAAGTAAGGATTAAACCGGTTGGCCATGTATGGGATATCGGCTCCCCAGTGCACACGTCGGGGTTTTCGGTGGCGTCACTGACTAATTTTCACTTGTTTGATTATTTGAAGATGAAATTATTTGTGAATGCTGATGTTATGTCGTATGCTTGACTGGTTGTGTATTCACTTCAGTATTTTAGGATGCATTTGTGTGAATGTCTGTGATATGCATTATTTATTATTATTCACTGAGTTACAAAACTCACTCTTTTTTTATTTATTTAATTTGTCAGGAAGTAGAATCCCTACCGGTCCGACTGAAGCTCTGTAATCATCCCCCTAAGGCTATAGAAGTAAATTACTAATTTTGTATTTATCTAATTTAGGCATTGTTATATGTAAGAGTTTCACTACTTCTCTAGCTATTATTGAACTAAGCTGTTGTAGGATTTTATGCCTCACTAATCTTGTTTAATAGGTGTACTAAGCTATGAATGCCCTAAATATTTATCTAAAATACATATGAATCAGTAGCGAATATTATGAATGAGATATACTATTGGTTGGCCCGAACTACGTTTTATTTGAGATATTTGAGGTTAGGCCAGGATCATTGATTACTGGACACACACACATATATAGGAATCAATATGGGTTTACTGCTCTAGAATTTTTGTTGGGTGTGTATGAAGTTTGTGGTTTAGGCGGGTTTTGGAGGCCTTAAGCTTACTATGGGCTGGACCGGGGTATCGGGTCGTGGCAGAAACACACTGTTTCAGCCTATGGTATCGGGTCGTGACAGAAACATACTGAAAGTTCATAATTTTTTCTTTTGTTGAGTTTTTCTGCTATGGTAGTTTTTGTGATTTGTTTCAAATTTTAAGAAAAATAATAAAATTATAACTAAAATATGAATATAAAATTTCAAGAAAAATAGTAAAAATTACAAAAATTTAAAGATAATAAACTTATAACTAAAAATATGAATATAAAATTTCAAGAAAAATAGTAAAATTACAAAATAAATTATAATATAAGTCATGTAAGAAAAATAATAAAATTATAACTAAAATATGAATATAAAATTTCAAGAAAAATAGTAAAAATTACAAAATAAATTATAAATATAAGTCATGTAAATTTATATGGAATTTATACGCTTTGTTGGTTGATTATTTTGATAAATCATTTTTTCAATCAGAGAAAAAAAATATACATTAAAATTCTTTATTCTTCCATTTTTCATCTCATATTGAAACTAGCAAAATAAAAACAATATTTACAACCAGGAAGAAAATCAAACATATGTAAATACTTAAATTAACTTGTCAAAATTAATTTTATATCTAAATAAAAATGCAAAAGAAATAATTAATGTTTATCATTAATTAAAAATTAGATCATTGATATAATTGATATTTATTATTACTGAAACAACCCGAAAATTTAATTTCGTAAAATTTTCATTTGAAAATTAAGTTTTTACCAAGAGATTATACAACAAATATTTTATTGTTGCTAGACGGGACTCGTAAATTAGCTTAAATTTTTTTAAAACAGGTGAAAAACCTGTATATCAAGCCGAAATCGAGTCAGATCGCTGATTTAGATCAAATCAATTCGAATCGAACCGGAATGCCCATAACACTCTAGAAACTGCCTTTCTTTTTCTTTCTTTTTCTTCTCTTCTTCTTCTCCAGGGCATTTTCCCATTTTCGTTTTTTCCTTCGTTCTCCGGCCTACGGCCATTGATTCCGGCAAGTGAGCACTCAAACCTCAAGCGCTCGACGAAAGGAATCCATCTGTAACTTCGGTTTAAGCAGTGAAGGCCGGCAGCAAGGGAGATCGGGACGAAAAAAACTTCGCACCTTGCGATCCGCTTTTCCGGCGAGGTACTCACTGTTTCCGCTCATTTCAGGCTATGAGGTGAGCGCAAATCGCCTTCTCTCTCCGAGGCGAGCCCCTTTTTCCCATCCATTCCGGCGACAAGCTCGTTCGAAGGATCCGCCATGGATGGCAGCGGTGAAGCCACTGTCGGGGCCATTTCCGGCCAAAATTGGCACACCCAGTCCAAGTTGGGACGGAATCGGAGTCCCGAGGAGATTTCGAGCATTTTGCTGTGCGGGTTGCTAAATTCTGGGTTGTCTGAGTGCCGACGGGGCGGTCCGGCGAGGTACCAAGAGACAAAAATTTGTTCTCCTCCCACTGATCGTGGAATCGTCTATGCTCTAAGACCCGTTCCTAATTTTTAGTATAAATTCCAAACTGTAAAACTATTAATTGATTAAATTAAATCTGAATAAATAGTTAATTGAAGGACTCGTTGGATTCGTCGTGTAGATTCTGAATATACAATTAGAACTGTTTAGCTACATAATTCTCTATACGTGAAACATAATTAATAAACTAGAAAAAAAATTAATTGAATATGATTCCTGATAGGGAATCTCGATGGATAAACACACTTGATTCTGGAAATTAGAAATATAAGTCATTTAGGATATTTTGACCTTTATGTTGGAATAGTTGAATATAGAAGTGAATATAATTAAATAATAAGAATTTAAATTATTTGAATAGCAGATAACATAACCGTAGAAAGACTTAGTCAATGAATTAGATAATTGTTAACTTAATTTAACTAAGACCGATTACTTGGTGTATATAAAAAGGTGGATAATTATACATGTTGATATTGGCACATATTCAAGTGCGAATTGGGTTATTCATAAGGTAAGTTATTTAGATTAAAGTCTAATTGGAACGTTGATTCTTTATGGCTAGTCAAGGATTTTATTAGTTGATACTTATGTATTGACTAAGGTTAGTGAAATAAAGATTGGTTATAATTATATATATTAATAAAGGACTTTAATCATTTGGTAATTAACTAAAGAACTAATTACCTGGATGTAAAGCAAAGGTGGTTGATAATCGTATTGTATCAAGTTGGAAGAATACATAAAATTGTATACTGAGGGTCGTTTTAATTTTTAGAATTATGGTTGAATGATGATTTGGCTGTTGAAGGAAGATGGGAGTTTAGTTTGATTGATTGTTCGATGGATGGGATTTGAAAATTGTGGTTTAGTTAAATTTTAGGGGAGCTAGAATTTCGATAAAATCTAGCCTAGTCATAATGAATAATTAAGTTAATAGGTTTATTTAGATTAATTCTTTAACTTAATATATTTAAAATAAATTTCTTTATTTATTTTATTATTATTTATTTATTTATTTATTTTTCAAGGATCAATTACTATAATATATTGTCAATTACTACTTCTTTCTTTAATTGTAATTGAATATGAATGTCTAGTTGTACACTTGCATCATGATATTTAATTGTTTGATGTGTTTGCACTTAATTATAATGCTTGATTAATTATGATGTGACATTGCTGTACCTTGTTTGTATGGAATTGGGATGAAGTGGGTCACCATGGGTTTATGAGGACGGTCCTGCAAATGATGAAAATGTGGAATTTGACAGTCGGCCAGGTATGGAGAGATCGGCGCTTCCGTGTGCACCTGATGAGATGATATGGATAATATGAAAGTAAATTCTCCTAAAGCCTAGGTAAAGCTCAATTTCCTTTGCTGTAGAGCTAGAAAAGGAAATATTTAGTGTAATTGTGAGTTTACAAAATCCAATTGTTCTATTCGATATTGAAGTTGTAGGAATAAAATCATATGAATTTTTGCCTCTAGAACTACAAAATTCTCATTTAAACAAATTAGCTTCTTAGGTGTATATAAAGTATTCATGTCTCGGTTTGTCCCTGTGTCACACTACAAATGTTCGTACGTAAAATTTTCAATTATGTGAAGAATGAGAGTTATCAAGTTCAAGTCTTGTACAGTTTCGAGTGTTATTTCTACTCATTCGACCTTCAATGAATAGAAAAAATAACCAACATAATATCTCAATATCCCTTTAAAATAATATGATACTTTAATGCATTGTCCTTATAAAGATATTATTTAATTGTTTTTCAATCAATTCACGAGTAAAAAATATCAAATTTGAGTATCTGTGTGTAAAAATTTTCATCAATTTTATGGATCGAGGAGAAAATTATTTTTTTATATAACTTACAGTATTATTTCTGTTACGTCAAGAAAAAATTATTTACTTCTGCCAGTTGGTGAGATAGTGCTTTTGCGCTAGCCGCACTGAATCCCTGTCCCAGGACTCCTAGGCATGGCAAAAGTGAAGGAATAGAGCAACTTTACCTGAATCTAAACAGAGATGCGCGTCAGTTTGTTACCGAGATAACCAAATCCGATTAGAGGCAGTTTTTTACAGCTCAAAATTTCATCTTGGAGGTAAAAGCTTTTTCTATGTTGACGAAATGATTACAGAAATGCAAAATGTTAAAAACTCATTTTCAATAAAAGACAAACACTCTTCTGCATTGAGACTTGAGAGAGTGATGGAAAAGTAGTTAACCTTCTTTAACTACTATTCAAAGACCAAGTAGCTGTGGTTGTTTCTTCAATAAGATATTTTTTATATATCGCTTTCATGGCACAAGAAGAAACCGAGGAAACAAAGCCGTCTTCGTCTGATGAGCCAAGCCCATCAGTTGAAACTCAGATGGCCAAAAGCTCAAGTTCATTGTCTGCTCCTACTCCCTCTTGGTTTACCCCAAAAAGGTTCCTCTTTAACTCGCTGTTTTGATTCCTAAATTAAAGATACTTTTTATATATCGCTTTCAATGGCATAAAAAAAAACAGAAGAAAGAAACCGAGGAAACAAAGCCGTCTTCGTCTGATGAGCCAAGCCCATCAGTTGAAACTCAGATGGCCAAAAGCTCAAGTTCATTGTCTGCTCCTACTCCCTCTTGGTTTACCCCAAAAAGGTACATCTTTAACTCGCTGTTTTGATTCCTAAATTGGCCTTTTTGGTCTGTGTTTCTTGGTCTTTTGGGATTTGAAACAATAATTGGATCTTTTCTTTTCTTTTTGGGTGTTCATGCTTTGAATGAGTAATGCACATATGGGTTTAAGAATTTAAGAGGTTTTTTATTTTATTTTATTTTATTTTTGGTTTAATTTTTTGGTGGGGCGGGGTGGGGGGTTCAATCTTTTGGAGTAAAGTATATCCTAAATATTTGGCCAAAGGAAGGTGTTGTAGTAAAAATAACTAGATAATAGAAGTTCTTAATGTGGGAGCCCATACTTCCTATTTGGGCTTCTTACCGACTTTATGGGGCGCTCATCCCTCCACAATGTTGGAGATTAAAATCGCCAAGCAATGTCTTTGAGATATATTAGCCTTTTCCTAATGATTTCCAGTGGAAATGTCATTAAGTGATTCTTATCTTTAGAAAAAAAAAAATAATTTTTGATTTATATTCTATTTTTTTAAATTGCCAATCAAAAAAATTTCTATCATAATATGGTTTTTCTTTCATTTTACTAGGTATGCCTACTCTAAATTTCTTATTTTGTCGCTAATTTAGTAATTACTAGCAAAATAGCAATAAAAGAAGATTTTTATTGATAAACCTTTCCGCTAAAGACAAGTAGCAAAAAAATTTTTTTATCCGTAAATTAGCAAACAAATT